ATAAATCCTAATTGAAAATGAAAATGCAGTATATTTAAGTTTCTGAAAAATAAAAAACACTTTCTCACCAAAGCCAATAGATATCCTGTCAAAGTTGAAGTAAACAAACAAGGTTTAAGGCCTATAGAAGAATACAAATAGGCTAAAATATCAGATTAATGGATAAGTCTAGTAATGAGAGTTTAAGAGCTAAACGTATGAAATTAACTGGACCCTTTAAGAAAAATTTACTACATTTAAACTTGTGCACTTAGTTGAAATTTAGTTTTGCTTCTCTAAATCATACAAACCATTAAGTTACTAGTTGAGAATGATTAGTTGGTACACAGAAAGAAATTCTATCCTTAGTTCCAACGCTGCAGTCATTTATACCTATTAAATGGGTAGTTAGGCTAGTCTTACCTTTAAGTCTAGCTCATATTCTTGGAATCTATATCTTCACAAATACTTCTTATGCTATTGGCAACAATATTAATTCAAACTTATGCATAGATAGGTTAATACATAAGCATGACACAGAAAGCTATTAAGTCCTTGTTCACTGAGCCGAAACAATATTTTGCCATCCTTTACATGACTGTGTGTATATGTGTGTGTGTGGGGGGGGTGCGTCTAAAAGAAAGATTTGGGTACAAGATTAATGAATTGGCCCTTGAATGTTCCTGATGACAGAACTCAGATTTTCACGAAAATTCATTACAACAGAACTGCAAATTAACATGGATTTAGGTGTTGGGTTGAGCTCCAAGAAGAAAAAGTTAGATGAAAAGTAATCTGGTTTGAGACAAGAAATATGTGACATATTAGTCTTTATTATCTACTTACTGAAATTTTTTATTGCTTCTGTAAGATGCCTTACCTTGATGTCGAAAGTAGCAACTGATCCCAAACTGAAGTATGCTGTAAAACAGTTTGGCAGCTATTTAAGTTGTTATTCTGTGTGACATACAGGTGGAGTTTTAAAATACAAAATAAACAACCAACAGATACATGTGGGAACTCTTCATACTAAAGACTTTATAGATACTAAGGAATATATAAAACACTGCACTGTCACCCAAGGAAAATACTAATACAGAGTTAGAAAGTTTTCACCCTTATACTGCCAGAAAGGAAATTGCAAGCAGATGATATACACAGTTCATTGGTGTGCTTAATACACTTACTCCATGAAGTGTAGAAAAACTGTCATAAAAGAAATTCCGAACAGCATTCCAAATGCTTAGGAAGTTAATATTATATTTTAGAAAAGTAATGACAGAAAACCATTTTCTCCTTCATACTTGCTACTTAGATATCTGCACAAGCTTTCCCCTCACATATAAAAACCTGAAAATAAATGGAAAACACTAATAAAGTTGGCCATTAATATTGCCGTTTCCAGAAGAAGGACAATAATGTGACATCTTTCATAGCTGACAGGATTTCTGCCAGAGGGTTGGTAGGCTGGCCTCTACTAGGTTATTTCTTGCACCTATTTCTCAATTACAAGCTTATGTTCCTGCAAAATACTAACCTAGTCAATAAATAACCTTTGTTTCTGAAAACAGCATCTGCCCTGGGTCCCTTTGCCTATTCTATTTTAATAAATAAGGGTCAGTATATGATAAAAAAAAAAAATCTGAAATCTTCTGTACTAGTCTCTCCAGAAATACAGCAACTAAAATTAGTCCTAAGCATCCACTTCTGTGCTTTCTCCCCCGCCCCCATACCTGATAATGATCACTCTACCTTTCTGATTCACAGGTAACTCCTAAACTAAAGGTACATCAGACCCAACAGGCAGAAAAACAGCCTGCAAGGCAAGAATGTGACACCCAAATGCTGCCACCAGTTCAAGCTGAAGTACAAAGGAAGTCAAAAGTTAACCCTACTATGTCTGATTTTTAAAATTCTATAGCCCATTTTAAGTTAAAAATTCTATCTCCTCTTTTTTCAAAATGTCTACTCCCGTCTCAGACATGAGGATCATTTTTTCTACCCTCTTCCAAATGTGAAACCTGCTGAGAGATTAAAAAGAACGGAAGTCAGTAGGCACTGAGGAAAAACATAGGTCTCGGAGTTGGTTTGTTGTAGGTACAAAACATTTGAAGTATTAGTGTAAACATTTTAACAAAAGTAAGAGAATTATTTTATTTTCAGAATTTTTATGTGTATAACTTTGCTTAATAGACAACTGACTGAACTTTGATCATAAAATTATGAAAACTCCAAAATGAATTTGACTGCTTGCCATGATTGATGCAGCTACACTTTGAAAATAACACATGAGGCAAGGAAGGAACACAGCAGAAAATTTAGAATCAAAATATTTTAGGCAGTAACTGTTGATTATTTTAAAAGCCAGAGACTAATAAATAGTTTTATAGGATGCAGTTTTATAAAACTTAAAAGTAAGTTTTTTTTGTGAACTCTCTAGAGAACAACTTTTGGCAAATATACTAGTGATGGAACACTTTCTATTCTGTAATAATTATATTGTATGCAATCATTACTTTGTAGGTCTTTCCTCTACTACATTGAACTTCTTAAAGAGCCTATCTTTGTATCTGCAGGTCCTACACAAAGTGCAACTCAATAAATGTTTGCACACTTTATTAATTTACTTATTTATACCTTATCTTGTTATGGAATACATTCTTGAGAGTTTACATTAGAATCAGTTCTGAAGCTTTTCATAAAACAAATGATCAGGACCCACTCTGCACATAGGGCTAGATATGTTTAAAAAGCTGTAGAAATTTATATACATGCTATGACTTGATGGATATATAGAGATATGATGGAAGCATTCCTGCCAAAGTCAGAAACAAGGTAAGGAAACCTATCAGCTCCACTACTGCTAAACGTGGACCAAAGCTATTAGCTCATGAATCATAATAAGCAGCATTGTAAGAATTTGGAAAGAAAGAACCCAGTGCAGTAGAGTGTACCTGGCACCCAAAGTAGTCCTAGCTGCTTGGGAGGCTGAGAAGGGAGGAGGGCTTGAGCCCATGAGTTCAAGGCCAGCCCGGGCAACACAGAGAAATCCCATTTCCAAATAAATAAATAAATTAGAAAAGAAAGAGTAAAACTGTATGTAATGACATATTATTAGTTGGTATATCGAGAACACAGAAGATAATCAGTACAAAGACTAACATAAGAAAAAAGATTTAATAAGGTAGCAGATATTAAATTAACACAAAAATCAAAGCTTTCAAAAGTAGAAACAATAACCAATTAAAGTATATAATTAAAGCAACAAATGTTTAAAATAAGGACAGAAAGAAAGTACTTGGAAACAAATCAACAGAAAATGTGCAAAACCTATGTAAGAAAAACTTTAAAATATTCAAATTTAGAAGGTTGGCCTGAAGTAATGGAAAGACATCCGTTCTCTTTGGGAAGGAAAACTTGATATTATAAAAATGTAAATTCCCTTCAAGTTAATATATAAATTAAATGTGATCACAGTAAAGATACTCTGAAGTTGTTGTTGTTATTTGGTGAAGATAGATTAATGCTAAGATTCATATGGGAGAATAAACATGCAAGAATATGTAGGGAAACTCCAAATAAAGAAAAGCTAGGCCTGGTGCAATGGCTCATGCTTGTAATCCTAGCACCTTGGGAGGCCATAGCAGGCTGATTGCCTGAGCTCAGGAGTTCAAGACCAGTCTGGGAAACATGGTTAAACCTCATCTCTACTAAAATACAAAGACTTAGCTGGCTATGGCAGTGTGTTCCTTGGAGTCCCAGCTACCCAGCAGGCTGAGGCAAGAGATTTGCTTGAACCCAGGAGGTGGTGGTTGCAGTGAGCCAAGAACATGTCACTGCACTCCCGACTAGGTGACAGGACAAGACTCCATCTCCGAAAAAAAGCTAATGAGTGGGAACTAGACTTACATGACATAAAACATACTGTAAAGCCTCTATAATTAAAAAAAAGTAGAGTGTGGATGCATGAATAGAGAGACCAATAGAACAGAATACCAACTTTAGAAATAGATCCAAGTACATAAGGAATTTAGTAAATGATAAATGTGGAAGTTTGCATCACTGAGGGGAAACGATAGACTAACAAAAATTGTATTCAAATATTAGAATTTTGGAGCCAGGCGCAATGGCCCATGCCCCAGCACTTTGGGAGGCTGAGACAGGAGGATCACTTGAGGCCTGTGTTCAAGACCAGCCTGGGCAAAATAGTGAGACCTCATCTGTACAAAACATTCAAAAAATTAGCCAGAACTGGTAGAATGTGCCTGTGGTCCCAGCTACTTGGGAGGCTGAGGTGGCAGGATCACTTGGGTCTTGGAAATTGAGGCTACAGTAAATGGTGATCACACCACTGTACTCCAACCAACCTGGGTATCAGAGCAACACTCTGTCTCAGAAAACAAAACAAAACAAAACAAGAATTTTGGAAAAAGACAAAATTAGATCCATCCTTAATCTATTCAAAAGAGAATTCTCAAAACACATCAGGTATCCAAATATAAAATAATAAATTATATAATTACTAGAAGACAACATGAGCGAGTTCATTTAAAACATGGATGTGATGGTCACTACGCACTTGACACTGTATCACACACTGTATTTAGATGATCTCAATGAAAAGTTGCTCAAAACTCAGTGAGGAAGATACATTGTCATCATACCCACTCTATTGATGGAGAAACCTGGTGCGGATAACCTACAAGATAGAAGGCCACATAACTCCCCAGGTGGTCTCTCTCACCCTGATTATGTAGATTAACAGCTTATATTCATAGGTGTATTCATAGCCTAAAGGAGATTTTAAGAAACAAGGTATCATACACATTACAGGCCTTTGCAGCCTTCTTCAAATTCGTCATGCCGAATAGTTAAATCCAGGCTATTTTGGGAAAAACAAGGGAAGATCCTGCTGGAAGGTCACAGGCTCATTGCAGACCCTCTCAAGGCTGGAGTTGTGCCGAAAGTTTTCTTCTCTAGCTATCTATAATACATAAAGAAGCAGAGAAGTTGCTAGTCGATGAGCTGAAAGGTGTCAGCCTCATTAAAGTGAAATTCAAGGACATCAAGGATTGGTCCAACCTAGCAATGCCATGAGAATAATGGGGATTTTTGCCAAACCTGACCATATTAACATGACATATTCAAAGACTCAGCTTTAGCATTCACTGACTCTATTATTGATCTGTGACAATCTTTGTGACCCTGGCAGCCTGGGGACAATTCTGAAATCTCCCGCTGAGGCAGGCTACAGCAAAGTGTTTCAAACTCTGAAAGGCTGTGTGGATTCCTGAGAGCCCAAAGCGCTATGGGTGGGTATGGGTGCACGTTTCCAGGTACCCAGTATTGATAATCTGAAAGCGGAAATAGTGCCACATTACTTGCCTCCTGACACCCAGGCCCATGTGGCTGACAACTAAAGCCTTTATGCTCAGGCTCAGATGTCTAGTAAAGCCATTGACTATGGCTTGGTGTGTGACTGGCAATACCTGAAGTTTCACAAGTACGAAGAAAAGTAAGGTCTAGAAACTGGAGCCAGTAAAAGTTGGCTGCCTGATACTGAGCTTCAGAGTCACGACTTGGACTGGACAGAGGCACCAGCAGCTGTGGTGGTTGGCGGTGAGATTCACGGCATGAGCCTGGAGTCTCTGTAGTTGGCTGAGAGCACTGGCGGCAAGAGGCTGCTGATCCCTGTCGCCCCTGTCATGAACAGCCTCAACCGGCATGACTGCACGCAACCTGCTTTTTAACGGGAAGAGACAACTGTGGGTGAGGGCAGAACACTTAAGCAGGGACAGGAGTTACTACTGAGAGGTACCATGTTCAGGAGGCAAGAGGTAGGCATGATACCATCATATGGTTGTAGGAAAAATAAGAATTTCCATAAATTTCTGCTCTTCCTCAGCAATAACAGGTCAGAATAATTCCTGAGATCTCCCATCTCCACTGATTTTGAGGTTATATCTTATTTTTTTTCTTCGTGACAACACAAATAGGGGATTCATGTGGCTCTATATGTGTGTTTTCAAAAATTGTCCACTGAGAAGCATTTCATGCCCAGAAAGCTCCTGAAAGCATCATCTTGGGCAGGGAGGAATTTGCTCCACCAGCTGGTGAGTGTTTTGCAATCATCAAGCACTGGTTATAGGTCATGGCCAAGTCACTCCCATCTGATCATTGGTCACTGGTAAATAAAATAAACTATATAGCGTAGAACCAACTACATTAAAAAGTTGTATTTGTGTGGTCAAAAAGCTAAATAAAAAAAGATGAATTTAGAGAAATCCTTTCTAACTATGACTCAAAATGTAGAACCATTAAGAGAAAATATTTTACTTTGCAGCTCTTACTGCCAAAGGGATTTTTATCCAATAGAAGGCTGAGCCTCTCCTCACCAGAGCAGGGAAAATCAGTCAGAGGTATCTGGGATGAATCTTGCAGCTATAGGACCAGAACCCACACATCTGTGAGATTTGGGCAAAACTGCCCATCAAGTGCAGCCTACCTCTGCCCCTCACAGTGTTCGCCCACTTCATTCAACTGAGATTTTGCCTTTTCTTCTCTGCTAGTACTCCACCAAATTAGAGCCTCTAGTCTCTTCCTCCAATACCCAAAGGCTCTGCACAGAATTTACTACCATTTTCCCACCAAAGGCCACATTCTATTCCAGAATTCTCCATATTATTAGTCATTAACTGAGGACCTCCTTTGAAATAATAACCCATAACCAGAATGCCATCAAATTGACTTCTTCTGGTACTTATACTCCCTTGTCTGTATTTATACCTTGATATGACATGGACCCCTTGCATTACCTGTCATCTCTAACAATTACTGCACAATTGGTTCTTCTCAAATAATGACTCCTGTTAGGACCAAGACCAGGACTTCTTTAAATTTTGCATTTTGGACTACTGGCTTTGTTTCCTCAGTGTTTTACCTGCAGTTAAGTCACTATTCTCAGTGACGCTTTTCCTACACAATCCTGTCTTTCCTTTCCTATGTCCAGTCCCTACGGCTAGAATTCACTAGCTTTCTTTAATCACCAAACTGCCTTTCATTATACTGTAGCAGACATTATAGGTCTCATTTGTATCAGTTCTTTGTTTCTGGAAATGTGATGCATTATATTTCTCTGTCCACCTTTTAGTTAGGTAACATTGTCTTAGGTCAAGTTTCCCAGATCCAATCTGTAAGACAAGAATGTATATGCAAATGATATATTAAGGAAATATTCTCAAGGAAGACTGTAAGGAAGTGATAGAAGCAAGACAGACAATGAAATAAAGCCAAACAAAAGTCCCACACAGGGTAGGCTTTATTGAGATCCCATAGGAGAATTTTGAAGGGCAAGCAATTTCTCAGAGTTGTCCCAACCTGAAGCAAGGGACCTGAGCTAATATTCCTGTGCAAGACAGTCTCTAATCAACAGCCACGGCCAGGTGTGGTGGCTCATGCCTGCAATCCCAGCACTTTGGGAGGCTGAGGCAGTCATATCGCTTGACCCCAAAAGTTTGAGACCAGCCTGGACAACATAGTGAGAGCACGTTCTCTACAAAAAATTTAAAAATTAGCCTAGCATGATGGTGCTTACCTGTAGTCCCAGCTACTTGGGAGGCTGAAATGGGAGGATTGGTTGAGCCCAGGAGGTTGAGGTTGCAATGAGCTGTCAACACACTAGTGCACTCAGCCTGGGTGACAGAGTAAGATGTGTCTCAAAAAAAAAAAAAAAAAAAAAAAAATCAACAGCCACTTGGGTGTATGCACCAGGCATTTCCAGCTCTCAGTACAAAGGGGCTCCAGTAGCCCAAATGGAAGCCATTGAAGAGTCCCAGGTGCTGGCCATTGAACATATGCCAATCAGGAATTTAAGCCAAGGACAGACATTGCCTGTTTCAGGTCTCAAGTGAGTAGTTCTCTGGCCAATAACTCTTAGATGGAAATTATTATCACAGTGAATTTCATTTTCAGCGTGCACTCCTCCAGCATTTTTTCTCCTTTCTTGTTAATTGAGAAGTCTGTCTGCTTTAGACAATGCAGCACCATAAGGTGGTGGAGTCTAATCAGATTGCATCTTTGAGTTACGGAGGCAGAGCCTTCTTCTGATCTATATTAGACATGTCTATTAAGTGAGAAATAAGCTTAGCCTGTTTGTTATTATAGCACATCCTCACCTATCCTAACTAATACATATCCCATTTATGTACTTTTCATTCAAAAAGATTTGCTGAGCAAATATCATGTGCTAGATATTATGCTAGGGAATATAAAGATAAAAAGAAATGTTCCTTTTCCTCAGCAAGCCCCTTATCATAATAGTCTAGCTAGTGCCATGATGGAGATATGCTGTGGGACCCAGAATGCTAAGTGAACGACTAGGAGACTCTAAATGAGACAGCAAGGTCAGGCAAGGCTCCTTAGAGGTTCCATATGAGTCATCTTATAAAGCATGAGTTAAAATTAGGTACAAAAATAAGGGGACTGGGAAAGGAAGGTCAACAGAGGCAGTCAGAACATGAGATGCAAAGTTCTGATTTGTGAAGGACAGGATACACTGATGACTCACTAACATATAATATACAAAGTAGTATTTAGATATTTAATTTGTTGTAGCTTGGCCTGCCAGATTGAACTACAGACTAGTTAATTGACAGGAAGTCATTTCAAATGATGAGCTAGTTTATGGCCTAAGGCAAATTATTATTTTACTTCTCTGTGTCCTGTTTACCTACTAGGAAAGATGAAAGTACTGACCTGCTTCATAGAGATGTTGTTTAATTACTATTCAAAGTTGCTTTGAAAATATCAAGCCCTTCTCAAACATAAAGCACTAGTACAATTTCCTTGGGAGCTGTGCTAACAGAAGACACTGTAGGTTTAAATCCTTAGATTGCAATAAATCTAAAGAAGAAAATAATTATTGATTCCTTTCCACTATTGTTACAGAACTTTCTACTGATATGTCTTTAATTATCTCAGGCCAAAAAAAAGAAATGGTAAAGTTATGATTATTCTATGACAAGAATAAGAAATTTTCAAAGTCACCATCATGAGCCAGACATGGGCTCACCCTTGCTATGGTAGCACTTTGGGAGGTCAAGGTGGGCAGATTGCTTAAGCTGAGGAATTCGAGACCTGGGCAAGCAAAACCCCATTTCAACAAAAAATTTAAAAAATTAGCTCAGTGTGGTAGCGCGTGCCTTTAGTCCCAGCTACTTGGGGGACTGAGGTGGGAGGATCACTTGAGTCCAGGAGGTCGAGGCTGCAGTGAGCTGAGATCCTGCCACTGCACTCCAGCCCGGGTGACAAAGTGAGACTCTGTCTCAAAAAAAGAAAAAAAAGGGTTACCAGGAGCATCCAGGGAACAAGTACTCAGATGGCCCATTTTACCTTTTTAAATTTGAATGCAAATTATGACGAACTAACATCTAATGAGCAAATAATACGTTCTAGAGCTGTTCTAAGTGTTTTTCCATGTATAATCTTTTGAAATTATCTGGCAGCCTTGTGCCTACATAGTAACAAACCTACCTATCTAGGTTTATTACTAACTCTGTCTTACAGATAAGGAAATAGAAGCACAGAGAGTTTAGCAGTGTTCCCAGTGCCACTCATTAACCCCGACGGCTCATGGGTCTAGTGGTATTCTTGAGTACTTGTGTGGCTCTCAGAAACTCTCTTTCTCTGTATCTTTTTTATATATTCACAATTCTCCTTTAGGGCTCATGGGAAGAATAGTATCTTTAAGCTATTTCTATACTTGGGTTAAAATTTCTGCTTATATGACCAGATTAATAAAAGCAGTTATTGTAGAAGGCAAACTGTATAGAAAAGCTGATCTGACTTCAGCTTTTCCCTGGCCGCTTTTATTGACAGTACTCTGTTGACCCACCTGTTGCCCAGTTTAGCTTCCCTCAAGTTTGTGGGAAATCTCTGATTTTTCTCGGGAACATTTGTGGATACGTCTTTTTTGTGCACCACTATTCCTGAGACTTCTGCCCACATATAATGCAGAAGTTTTACTGTTAGAAGACTTCCTTATTAGAAATTATAGTAATGAATGCCACTTCCTTACTAGTGTCTCTAATTTGTCTCTAGAATTGAGGAATAAGTAGAAACCCTGCTGTAGTTTCATTTTACTGTCCAGGCCAGTTCCCAGCGTTCTTTCTTGCTTATGCTGGGATATGACATTGAGCAATAATGCACACTAAAATAATCCCCTATATTTTCTGTTTTCTTTTTCTTTTTCTTTTCTTTTGAGATGGAGTCTCACTCTGTCGCCAGGCTGGAGTGCAGTGGCGCAATCTTGGCTCACTGCAACCTCTGTCTTCCAGGTTCAAGCAATTCTCCTGCCTCAGCCTTCTGAGTAGCTGGCACTATAGCGGCACACCACCATTCCCAGCTAATTTTTTTGTATTTTTAGTAGAGACAGGGTTTCAATATGTTGACCAGTATGGTCTCAATTTCTTGACCTCACGATCTGCCCACCTCGGCATCCCAAAGTGCTGGGATTACAGGCGTGAGCCACTGTGCCCAGCCCAAATTTTCGGTTTTCTAAACACCAATAATATGCATCTTCCTGTAGCATATTTTTAGTGTTCTCAACTGTATTGATGTGTGGAACTAATCTGTGAGCTACACACTGATCAAGCCATATTAGTATTGCTTAATGTTTCCCTTCATAGGATTTATTCTGAGGGCCTTATTCAGACTACACATTAAAGAAAAGCTAATAATTCAAGAGATTATAACTAGCAGTGTGTGAGCAGCGTGACTGATTAGATCAATCTGAAAGATGCAATTATGAAAGC